CCGAGAGATGCGTGGATAAGAACTCGTACCCGGCAAACTGAGTTGGGCGGAGTGTCTCACATAGCGGTTTGAAAGACCAAGAAAGGCTCTTACGACCATCAGATGGTTGTAAATTCTCACGAACTCCGTGAATGCAGGAATCACCCAACTGCAGGAAGTGCACGGAAACGTGATGAAATCACACACTATGTAGGTTCAGGAATGCATTGAAGAGAATGAGAGTGTTGAGATGCGTTTAGAACTAATAGGTGGGAATTAGCGCTCAAGAGGATCGTATACTGGAAGTATGAAAGTATGTAATAAGAATTTGGAAAAGAAATTTGGAAATGTGATATTTTCACGCACGATTATATCCTTGTAGCTTGAGAATATTAATATCCCATTCGGAAGAGCATAGCTCATGTAACCTACAAACTGAATGAAGATACTCTTATTTTCACGGGGGGATGTACGTAACTGTATCACAACGTCACGCTACGTCCAGTCTCTAGACGCCGGTAGTGACCGACTCAATATGCGCTAGACTCCAATCCATATTGGCGGGGTCAAATGGACCGCGCCAAGAGCTCAATCAGGTCAAATTTAGACGGGACAAGGGCGATTCAAGAGCTCCTCATGATGCTCCATGGTTCCTGATCGCGACACGTTAAGTGAGAGATGATTGCCCAACTGAGTGTAGAGGCATTTCTGGAGAGCAGCGCAGCGCCCATTTCAGCGGATGCGAAGGCAATGGGTGCCCGAGTCAGTCGCTCCACCTGAGACGTGTCAGTTCTAGATGAACGACCCTCATCAGCTGCACTATGTTCAGCTTCTTGGAAGCTAAACACCGTACAGAAGCTACTGCTACGGCTACCCCTCTCAAAGTGAGAGTGCCAAAGAATAAGTGCGGCGTCCCCACCTTCCAATTGCTGCAGTCGAGCACGGAAGACCGACTCGAAATTATCGAACCACACCTGACTGTGAGCACTAAAATAGGACGTACCGGTTTGGCCAAATGTTGCACTTGTATGTTGCTCTGTGAGACTTGGGCCTGGACACATTGGTCGGTATAGGCCTGGCCCAAAGGTCTATCCAAAGTCGTAAGTGAACTGATTCCCACAGCGACAGTGTCACTGTCTGCTGACTGCTTCCATAATGCCGCCGGAGAAGCCGTTGGGGTCGAGAACATGCACGGATTATCAACAATAAACTGGAGTCGAGGGAAATAACGGGTTGAGCCTCCAACCACGTGAGATGACGTACAAAATATATGCTCAGTGAGGCTTGCGACCACTCCGATAGAGAAAATAAAACGAGAGTAAGGTCGGAGTCTTACAGTACGCAGGAGATCGATCCAGAGACAACTCCAAGTCCGAACTGTTCCATAAGATAACAATCACAACAGTCGCAAATGGCGTGTCTCCCCATATCATGGTGGGCTTGGTCCAGTCGTAGCCCGTGCTGCGTGTATTATATCCTCTTTCTCTCTAATCTTCGCACGAAGCTCCGCGATGATCTTCCTATTCCTCTCGATTTCTGCACGATCCAGACAAGCTTCCCCCGCGGCAGCCGGCATCCCTCTCTCACTCGACTTCATGGAGCCTAAAGGATCGAATAACCCTTCTACGAAGACAATCCAGTGCACGTGAGTATACCCTTCAACGGCCCTTGCCGAGTAATAGAGAGCTTCCTCTCACTTCGCTCTATCTTCAAGGCTTGCAGCTCCTTACGGAGGTCGCCAATTTCTGTTAATAGACCCATATTCTCCTGCAAGATCACCATGACGATTCCCAATCCACCAAAGAAACACCATCACCGCCATAATCCGACTGTTATCCTTCCTTCGAGCTTCCGCATCCTTCTGCAGCTTCATTTTCATGTTGTTCACCCTTGCCTCTAGGGCAGCTTTCTGGCATCGATGTTCCTATAAGAAACGCAAAGTTGAGGCAATCAAAGCTGCTCTTCGTCATAACAACGTCAACTATTTACTATTCAGGTTATACTGGGATTTCCATGTTCGCCACAGATGGATTCACAGGAAATTCTTATGCGCATATCAAATGAAACAAGCGGCTCACAGGAATCGCTCAAAACCAAGGACTACCGTGTGGATCCCCTTGTTGGTATGCGGCCTCTTCTCCATCGCAACCTCCTCGTCTTCACTTTCTTCCTCCTCCTCAGTATCCTCCTCCTCTTGGTCTCCACTCCCCTCCTCATCTTTTCCTTTCTCCTTCTCTACGGCCTCCTTTGCAGGAGGTAACTCAATATACTTCCTCGCCATACCAAGGAAGCTCTCCTTGAGCTTTTCTGGATCCTGAACAAAAATCACCTCTTCCCACGATCTTCCCATAGGTCACACAGCAGCTCTTACTACCAGTATATGCTGAGTAGTGTGATAGAGATCCGTCTTGAAGGCATTCGATACCCGCCGAAGGTCCGACAGTCGCTGTCTATAGTCGACCACTTCTCGCTGTAGCTCTTTTTGCTTCCCCCTCATAACCTCAATATCTTCCATCAGGTTCTTGCTCTGTTTGTGTTGCCTAACAGCCGCTACC